TCCCCGAGCAACTCATCTATCTCATCATACGCTTCACAGCCTCAGTACCGGACCTCCCACTCTCAATACATACGCCACGAACAATCGCGACCCTCTCCCTCAAACAGCTCATCCGCCAGCACCTCCCCTCTGAACATGCCTCGGCGCGCCTACGCCTCATCTACGCGGGCAAAGTCCTCGCAGACACGGAGCCATTATCGAAATCCTTGAAATTACCACCGCCGCCGCCTCCTCGAAATACCAAAAACAGCGATGCAGTGGGAAGCGGTACCGGCGAAGCCAGCAAGAGCAAAGGCAAACAACCCCTACGAGAAACACCCGCGATCGAATACGGCACAACAACAGACATACCCCCCTCAGCAAAGAAATACTACATCCACTGTTCCCTCGGCGACGCGCTCTCCGCTCCCGAACTCGCCAGCGAAGCCACACTCGCCCACAATACAGAGATAGCGTTGAAGTCGCATTATAGTACATCTTCCTATTCTACACCGGGACGGCGCGCAAGTAGTACGACTATAGACCACGATGCACGGAGACGTAGCTCGACGGCTACGACGAATACGGCGAATACAGTACCTCAGGCTCAGGGGTTTGATAGATTGCTAAGTTCGGGCTTTACGAGGGATGAAATCGCTTCTCTTCGGGCGACGTTTACGCAGAATCTCTCGTTTACACATACGCCTGATACTATGCCTACGCCCGCACAGATCCGCGTTCTGGAAGACAGGTGGCTGGATTCTTCCGCTAATGACCCCTCGGCTTCGCTTACAGGTGGCGCTGGGGCGACGGGTGGTGCTGGCACGGATGCGGGCTGGGGCGCGGGGTTTGCGGTGGAAGAAGGCGGGTTGGACGATATGCTATATGGGTATCTGACTGGCTTCTTCTTTCCACTGGGAAGTTTGGTGTGGGGGTTTAGGGAGGAGGGGGTTTGGACGAGGAGGAGGCAGGTTGCTGTTGTTATGGGGGTTGTGCTGAATGCTGTTTTTGGGTTTATGCGGTGGGGTGGGTAGATAGTTTCAAGATGGAAAGACATGACGGGATGGGAGAGGGTAGGCTGTATGGTGTCGACATGACAGACATCGATAAGATGGTTCATTGATGCGATGTCGTCCTCGTGTTTTGGAAGGAAATCGTTCAAGATCTTCACTGCGATCATTATTAGTCTTGTCGTCTACAGGTCACGTTGAGGGCAAGTCGTTCATGATACCAGTTGCGCTACCGAATACCTATCTGCAACAAACGTGTGCAGATTCTACCAACTCCTGTAGTTGCATCATACAAACCACACAACTACCTTTGTTATTGGATGCGAACAGTATCCCAGGATGCGACAAGCACCGTTATTATTATAAACTGATGTGCTTGAGTCTAACCTGCCGCCTCATACCACCACTGCCCACATGAGAAAGTCAGATGTTCAGCTTTAAGGCTGGAGTGGTCTTAGTTTAGGAAAGTTCCTGTAGCGTGCCAACAGCGTTTCAACGGCGTCATGCAAGCGCATGCACTATGCATGTGTGGCGCAGACGCTATTGTTTCCACCGTCTGCGCTGTCGACGTCCTGCAATGCAAATGCAACAGGGCAACCATGGTGACGAAGGGTAAATTGGGGAGCCGATGGTGCAGTAGGCTGTGGTAGGCAAGTAAGGCGTCTTTGGGTATTGTTGATGGGGGCAACCTGTTGTTACCTTGAGTAACGGGTCAGCGCGTCAACAATGTCGCAATGAAAACAATCACCAGAAGACGATTTTGTGGGTATTATAGTAAGTCTGATTGAAAGCTGGGGGTATCTATGCGACAGGTCCGTGATCGATCAAGAATGATTTCCTCTCCACGACCCTTTGGCATCCATCTCTCTCAGACTGTACAAAACAAAAGGAAAAAGTGTTCGCTCAAACTCCATGCTTGCTGTTTCGTTCATTACCGTATCCATCTTCCTTGCTCGATACCGGGGGTATAGTATAGGGTATAAACATCCACACTCTCTCGTCCGAAAAGAGACAATCGCGCTCCGTCCGTTACTTTGCGAAGACTACGCGGCGATGTGTTGTAAACGTATCGTATCGTCGTATGGTCCTGGCAATGAAGAAGTAACGGCCGTCGAGCGATCGTCGTTCGTCGTCGTAGTAGTAGTTGGGTAGTAGATATAGCGCCTTAGTAGTACCCGTATCTCCTCATGCGCCATCCTTCACAAGGGGAAGTAATGATCAGTACGGCGACATGTGGGAAACGGGTTCACACTAGACTCTACTAGTATGCGTTGTCCTCTTTCGGCCGCCGCCGCGTCCGCAGGTGAGGCAGCTGATGATGATGCCGAAGAGGGAGACGATGGCGTTGATGATTGCCTTAAGACCAGCAGCGATGGCGTTGACAATGGCCATGATGCAGTTTCCGATGGTGCGGAACTAGAAAGCGTGTTAGGAACGGTTTGTATAGGCAGGCAAGTGAGGGATACGTACGACCGACTTGATGCAAGAGACGACGGCACCCATGATAGCGGTGTTTTTCTGGTGAAGGCTTCGGTGGTGTAGTGGATGGAGGACTCGAGGTAGAGAGGCGAGTGTTCGTAGGTTCGTTGGTAGATGGTATGGTTTGGGGAGAGTGTGGTATCACAACAAAGGGCTTTGAGCCCTCTCACTTATAAGCAGCCGCGAGCCAGCCCTGGAGGCGCCGGAACAACGACCGCCCTTGCACAACGGCTACGTCACGCGGCGTCCGTGCCCCCTTGTCCTCCAGATCCTTCACCTCAATCTTTGGCCTGCGTAACGAAATTTCCCGACTCAAACTCCATTCCTGCAGGTGACTGTGCTGCGTCTGCAAACAGCCAAGCTCGCAACGTCAGCGGGAAAAGTCAGGTTTGCGCCAACCAAGCCACCCGATGCGGCAAGGATGGGCGACGGACGCGCTCAAAGCAGTCGCGCAAAACAGGGTTGGCCCTGCGACGTCGACGTCGGGTGTGGGTCGCGCGCCACAACCTTAAAGAGCGCCGACGTCACTGCCCGTCCCTGAAGCAGTAGCGATCGTAGCCTGCGCGTGGCTGGGCCCATGGGCAACGCAATGCCCGCCTCTCACGATCGCGATGCCTTTGCCATGGCAGCCCCCGAAGCAGGTAGACCGACTTTTGATAAGCCCATGCTGCTGATTTGGTGCGGCCACACTACCGCTGCGAGACGTTGTGCGACGCCAGACCACCGTTATCGTGCCAACCACGCCTGCCCGCCCACCTCCTTCTCCTCACCTGTAGCCATCATCCACCCATATTTGATCACCCCAGATGCTCTTATCCGGCATGGCTCCACCGTTGCAACATTCCCAGAACTGTCGTGCAGCCTGCATCGTCCGTGTCCGTAACTGTGACGTAGCCATCTGTGGCGGCCCATCTAATTCTCTTCCGCATCCTTGCTCACAACGAGCGGCTCCAAATCTCCACCCAACCCGTGCTGCCTTTTCTCCAGCCGCTCTCTCGCCTCGTTGATGAGGTGACGCCACAGCTCAAACACGCGTGCGTGGGTCATCCACCCATATTGACATCAGTCCGTCAGGCAATCTCAGCAAACAGGGCAACGGCACGCGGGCCACATGGGTTTTCGTCTCAACGTCTCACCACCTTTTCGCAAACCCATGTTATCATCCGTACCGCGGGAGCTAGGCTTTCCAAGCAACTGCAAGCAAGAATCGTGGTCTAGACTGCCCGGTCGCATGCTCATATCGCTTGGAGGCCATGGCATCTTTCCAAGGCATGTGCTGGAAATAGCACGGCTAACCTGGCACATCGGAATTAACACCAAAACACGATCTTGGATCGGACCCTCGATGCCCAGAACCGCAATCTTGCTTTCAATCTCCATGTCCCTCTGTCGTGGAGATTAGAGATTAAGTAGAGCGGCTGGGAGCCGACATGGCTCATGGGCGTTTCAGGAATTATTGTTTTGCACCCATGTTTGCGGTGAGAAGGTTTAGCGCTGGTGTTGTCGCTTGGTCTGGTGTGGTGTGGCTGGTGACGCGCCGTCGCAATGTCTGACATCGGACTTCTGCGCACAAGGAGCGGGCCGCCGCTCGACGCTCGAGGGAAAAAGTTGGTACAAGTGGAGTCTAACCGGCCAACACCACACATCACGCATGCATGCACCAACCTCATCAAAGGTAGCATAGCCCACCATCAACGACGCAGTGTTTCATCATCACCATTGTTCCATTATGCGCATTGCCACTTCTGCCTTCGTCTAGCTACTTTCCGGCTTTGTTCGTTATTCATACACTTCGTAAACATGCTGTATCCAACGTCGTAAATCAAGCGCCGAGATGCTCTTTCTCCCGTCGCGAAGCCATGCAGATACTGCTAACGCCATGCTGCTGAGGAAAATGGAAATGGAAATGTCGTCTGCTTGTTGCTGTGGGTATATGGGTTGTTGTCGAAGAATCATGGGTATTCATTGCTGATGCTGCGTTGAAAGACCAATACAGATGTGCCGAAGCGATGTTCGATGATCGATGCGATGTTTACGGGAATTCGTTGAGCTCTTCACCTCATACAAGAAAGACCCCGAACAGGTCAAGAGCATACGCCGACGTCAGGTCACCTATCTCGTAGGTTTTCAGGTTGATGTAGGCTGCAGGCCTGTTCGGTTTTTTTCTTGGTTGATGTGTCTTCATATACCGTCGTATCATACTGGGTAAGCTGATCGAAAGCTGTTGCATGAGGATGTACTCGGCGTATAGGTCTCTGCTGCTGTTGATGTCGGTGGTATGACTGCTCCGTATGATTCTGGGCTCAGTTTGCAATTTTGTTCTTCGGAACGGGAGGTATAGTAGTCTCCTCGGTGATCCTAGTATCCAGTCTGGGCCTCGAACTCGATCGTGAGACTAATCTCATTCGACTTGTTGCTTGCTTATCCGGGGTGACGACATTGCCTGCGTCTGAGAGCGCCGAAGAAGAAAGAGCTGGAGTCATGGGCCCCTGAGGATGAATGCCAAGTGGACTTGGATATGTATCGATCGTCTCATGACTTTGCTTGGGAGTCTTCATATGAGCTTCGCTCAAAGCCCTGTGGCGGCCCGGACTCATCGAATCGCTGTACCCGTGTCTGCTCCAGTAGGGGCGATGCAGGCGAGCCGCCTTGGGTAGACTTGAGTAAGATGCTTGCGACTGGAGAGTTGCACTCCTGTGCCGTTGGGCGGGCCGGTCTGTGGGAGTATCGTGACTTTGCTCAGGCAGCAAGAGTTCGGACGTCGCATGATCGCTGTCCATCTCTCGCATGAACTCGTCATCCTCGTCCTCAACCTTGGCTATCCGCTTCACATGTCGCACTTCAAAGTACGGTGTCTTGGGCAACTCTGGCATCGAGTTGATCGAAATCGCACGTGGTCGCGGAATATCTTGAACTGCACAATCGATATGTGCAAAGTGCTTCTCACGTATCGGGTTCCAGCTCAACGGCGCCATCCGTTCGCGGTCCCGCAAGATGGACAGGTAGCTTGAGACAGCGCCGATCAGGATCAAAACCATCACGGCCACCGTCAAGAGACCTTGAATGACGATTATGATGATGCCAATAACGGTTGTAGGGATACGAGCGATACCAAACCGTGTATCAAAGGCTGCCGAAAGACCTGTAGTAGTAATCTTGCTAAAGCCGAGAAGATACACGACCAAAACGTTCAGGCGCTGTCCTTCGAAGGGTCGGAGAATGATGAAGGCGACGAAGGCAACAATCTCAACGGCTAGGAGACCGAAGACCTGAACCAAGGGCTGAGTCGATGCGCCAGCAAGGAAGCATGCTCGAATGAATTCGTAGAACAGCCAGACTACAAAGAACCACCAACGAGTCCTCCTGTAGCGGGAGGCCAGCCAACCAAACTTCGTTGTGTACTGCTCGTCATCATGGATTGATGCGGTATCCGCCGTGGCGTGTATCGTCCACCAAGGAATTGAAGCGATGTACATCTCGTCCTCGGAGCGTGGAGCCTTGCTATTCCTGGAAATACTGAACCACGGAATGATCTTGAGTAGTCGTCGCTTGGCTATGTTCAGCCGGTCGGGCTCAGATGCATACCTTCCGATCCGAAGTCTAGAAAAACAAGCGTAGGCGGCGATACTGCCTATACCGAACACTACGGCGAAGAAGGCTGCACATGCGACCGCGACAGGACCTGAAAGAGCTAGGTAGGAGAACTGAAACATGGCTAGGAACGTCAACATGTAAAACCCAATGAAGATTGTTCGCAGGACAGTCGATAGAGCGAAGGCAAGATAATGGGTTCGGAAAAAGGCCAGGCGGTCCTTTTTGACAATGCGTATGCTACTGAAGCCTTCGAGGACAACTTTCAGGGAGAGTACAGAGACAACACCGCATGCGATCAAGATTAAGAACCAGAGCAGTCCAGTCATGAAGGCGTTGCTGGCTGGGATGTGTTCCGTCGCAAGGGTACCAGCGAATCCAGAATAGTTGCCCGGAAGTGGCAGTCCAGGCTTTACAGGCAACCCGTAATATTTGAATCCAGTGCTCGCGTCGATGAGACGGCGCTTTGCTAAGGCAGCTTGGAGATTCAGACCCTGAGGAAGAACGCCTCGTTTGTATATCTGGTGAATGTCGACCCCTCCTCCAAGATGAGGATTACTCTCGCCCGTACCTGCGGCACCGACTTGCGATGTATTCCCTTTGTTCGAGCCGATGAAATCGTTGATCGTGTTCTGCATTGACTCAGAGTAGATCATACCCCCAGCCCAGGCATAGTTGCTCCAGAAGGCCACGAGGACGCTTGGCCAGTTCACCGAGAGCGCTCCGCTATAGAAGATGTGGTGCCATACCGCGAAGACCACAGACACTGACAGCGAATGGGCGTAATGCTTGCGCATCTCGAGGACGTTGGATCCGTAGGCGGCTGTAGCAAAAGAGGAAACGACGGCTATGAGAGTGAAGAGCCCTAACGTTGAGCCCACTGAGCTCTTCTGCTGGAATGTGAACCCGTTGGTGATCTGGGCCGCGAAACAACCGATCTGTCAAGCTGTCAGCATGAATACGAATAGTAAGATGTCTGAGCACCGCGTTGGCAAAGCATAGCAAGGGAGCTACATACTAGTAATAAGTTAGCAAGATATCTTGAGAGCTATTCGTGGCGGCTACTTACCCTCGTTCTGTGTGGAGTTGGAGAACAGTCGCAGGATGGCCTGGCCTTCGAAGTCGGGAATGCTCAACGCAATCTCTGGGATCCCTGCGACGTCGTCTTGATTGATCGGTATGATGCCCGCCGCCTCGATGGGAACGCCGGCTTTGACGGGGCAAGCGCTGAGTATGTTGGCGTCGCAAGGGTTGAAGGTCAGGTCGAATCGACTCTCGCCGTACGCATAAACGCCGATATTCATCATAATGTCTTCTCTTCGGAGCCCAGTCTCGCCTTCCAGGTGAAAGATGATGGTCATGTTGTCTTTGTAGTAGGCTGCGTCGAACCGTGTAACGTTGATGGCGCTCTTGCCTAGGCAGTCGCCATAGTCGGCAGTGTAGAGAGATGGCTGTCTGTCGTCTCTGACTTGCCATTTGTCGCCATCGATGATTCCAACCACCCATGTACCGTCTTTGTCTACGTTGACGGAGCCGACCGGGGTGGTGAGCAGCAGGCCGGCTGCCAACAGAGCTTGGGCGCACCGTGGTAGATACATGTCGCCTGGACGTGTGAGAACGGATCTCGAGGTCTTGTTGTCGTTTGCAAACGTATGGTTCGGGGCGTCGGTAGGTCGACCGGAGTTCGTGATTGACCGTGATACGGGAAACGAAGGTCGGGGAGAGCAAGGATAGTCGGATCAAGATGTCGGGGTGCAGATGTGGAGTGCGACGACCAGACGCAGCATCGCAGAGGCCTAGGCAACAGCAGCGAGAGAGAGGTGAAGAGTGCAAACAGCAGGGCAGTGAGTGTGAGTTGAGCCACGCAAGCATACACGCAGGTGGTCTGGCAGGTGCTGGAGGTGCATGGAAGCAAGAGCCACCAGCCGCTAGCCGGGCACGTTCTGAGGTAGCAAGCGCAACCTTCATCCCATTCACAGATCGCCTAATTTGGCAATCACTTCCGGGAGTAACCGTTTAAATGAACATGCGCGCATCACCTCCAGTCGATTCAGGAACATTACAGTGCCGACTTGAGTACCCGGTCATCGCATAGGATGTAGGAGCAGCAGATACAATGCGCTAAGCTTTTTGACCTGCGTTAGTGCCGGTCTAGCGCGCGGAGCCGTGGTGAAGGTGCTCCCATATGCGAGTATCCGGTACCAGAAGCATCTATAAACGTGTCAACAAGACCTGGGACTGTGTCTGTATCCAGGTCATTACGGGGTCCAGATCAAGGTTAAAGCCAAGCTCGTCATCGCACTCAACTTGCGGTATGAATGACAGGCTGGATGGAGGAAGAGTTCATGGTCTAAAAGATTGCGCATTCCTTCACATACGACCACAGGTAAAGGGGTATACCGGATCCCGTTTGCTCTCCACACGTCAAACCTTTAACCGGCGAATTAGTAGCGTGGTGGGTGACCACACGCGAATAATCGCTGTTGTATGTTTTTGTTCTTTTTGCCGTAGTCTTGAAATGTATGCGTGGACCTCGAGGCTATCTTTTTGCTTGATGTGGTACGCGGCATGTGTAGGGTGAGGGGTCTGCTTTGTTCCTTTTTGCCCATGCAAGTGAACATCCGTCTCTTTTTGTAACATGGAGCGGTGTTTCTTGCTTGATCAGACGTGCTGTGAGCCCAGGTATCGTGGCATCTCTTGTGACCTTTTTGGTCTCATCATTTCGCTATTGGGTATCTCAGCTTGCGTGTCGACTCTAAAGTATCCCATCGAGTTAGATCCCTTCCGTCCATCTGGGGCGTGCTCTGATCTCATCGTTAGTACGAGGGCACTACCTCATACAAGAGGAAATTTGAACAGGCCTGCAGCCTACATCAAGACAAAATCATCCAAAATAGATGATCAGACGTCAACGTAGGCTCCAGGGTATTCACGTTTTTTTCTTGAACGAGGTACCACCGCAACCCCTCAGACAACCGGGCTACTTCCATTGAACGTGCCCTTGGCCTTAACACAAAGGTCCCCACCAACACTCTCCAGCGTCGCAACAATCTCCTGCTTATGTCTCGACGCGTCGGTCTTCTTCGTCAGGTCCTTCTGCGGCGACAACCACCCCAACCAGCTCTTTGTAGGTTCCGCTTCGGGTTCTGGCGGCGGCTCGGATTGAGGAAGGTCAGGCTTCGAGAAGGAGGCACGGAGGACGTAGAAGTCGAGGCTGTAGGTTGGTTTGGCGTAGGTTAGGCTGAGAGAGTCTGGACGGTGGACTGGTTCTATCTTCAGTGTCAGCATGGGCGTACTCTCTGTAGGCACTTGAAGTATACACACCCACAATGCCATCTGGCCCTCTGACCATCCTCGCCATGATCTCTTCGAAAACGGTTGCGATAGCCCCGCCATGTGCAACGCCAGGCCACCCACTCATTCCTCCTCCTATCCAGACCACAGCCACCATCTCTCTTGTCTCGGCACTCCAGAATGCTCTTTGCACACCCAATCCCCGCGTGCCACTCATGACGCCCAGTATGCCTTTCTTGCCCTCATTCTCTCTCCCAAAGTCCAGATCCAGCTCGAGCCACCCTTTGTACGCTGATATCTTCCGACTTGATCCAGGAGACGACGTTATTCCCGGTCCTGACCGGAGCGCTGTGTCGGTATGCAGGTTGTATGACTGAGAGCGCAAGGATTGCACGATTTCGAGAGCATCGATGTCGCGCCGCAGAGAGTCGAGGATGATCTCGTCTTCTCTGGAACCAGGCTCTGGAAGACCGAGAGGCGCGGCAAAGTGGCGAGCACCTAGGCCAGTCGTAATGCCGAGGGCGAGTATGCTGGCGTACCAGAAGTATGACCAGCGGATGCGGGATTGGAGGGGGAGAGGAACATCGCGATGCGCATGGTAGCTGGAAGAGCGGAAGGTTCGGCTGGCGGATTGGCAAGATTGTTTGAAAGGTGCGCGATTGAGAACGATGCGCGCTCGTGACATGCTGACCGCCGGCTGCAGGTAGCAATTGCTGAGAGATCTGGGAGGCTTCGATGATGCAGATATCGCGAATTGGTGGCAGGGATCACTTCACCGAGGCTGAAGGTTAGCGGCTTGGCATTGGCGAACACCTGCCCAGGTGGACTTCGCGTCCTGCCTCATCAACACCATCACCAAGTGCGCGTCGTCTTCGGGCTATGAACGCGACGATGTCTGCATCGCAAGCACTCTCCATATTGTCACTCTTGAGGCCTTCACGCGTCTTGTCATGGTGCACAAAACCTTTCCCTTAATGATGCATTCTCCTCGTATCTCGGTCTCTGCTACCTCTCTCCAAAATATTAGGAGCTCCGCAACATGTTTCTTTGCTTCATGCATATGCTCAAAGAACACGGTGTGAGCGCGGGCGTTTGCTCACCGTCCGTTTGGTAGCTCGGTGCATATCAAACTACACAACCTTCACCTTTTGCAACCTCACTCTCTCACTCTTACACTTCACTCCAGCTTCACTTCCCATCACGCGATATCACCACCTATCTAAATCAACCAGGGTGTATCTACACCGATCAATATGCCATCAGAAAACACCCTCAAGTTCGCCGCTATTGCGGCTTCACTCATCATCATTCACACCGCCATCATCAAGGTACACGATCTGACTTCTAAAGCTCTCGACAACGCGCATCCGCGAGGTAAGTGATATGTGCACAATATGTATGAAGGTATGCTAAAGTAAGTAGATGTCACCACAGATATGGTGACCCCTCGAGTTCAGGGCCGCAGCCGTGATAACGGCGGTCAGATGCACGTATGTCAAGGACTGAATGCTGCCGGAGGCTCAGTGTCAGTGACATTTCCGACGTTCATCAAACCACAGGTATGCACAGATATGTTCAGATACACGCAGATATACTAACATGCAAAAAGTGAAACACTATCATTATCCAAGTATTTGGTGCACTATCACACAGGCAGAAGGAAGGCAGGGTGTACAGCGGAGGGGGGGAACCCAGATAGCAAACAAGATACCCAGACTCAAAGCACAATACATCACTCTTTGGTATATTGTGGTATCTGGTAAAGCTGTATGCACTTCGATCAGAGCACATCGCGAATAGCTGCGCTTCGCGCAGAAAATCTTGCGCGCCCAAGAGCATGCATGTCTTCATTTATCCCGCGGCGTAGATTCTGATACCGCACATCCTCCCATGTGTTGAACCTCATGGATTCCGATCCTCAACATGGACAATGTCCAACTCCTCCGCCTTAACACCATGGAACATGCGAACCTGCTCTAATTAGCCTCGAACCCTCCGCGTTGACACCCTCATGGGACAGACACCACAGACATTCATCCCTAGCAGATCTGGCGGCGCTTCTCCAAACTCGCCCATCCTAGGATCAAGCCAGACTGCACTCCCACACCTACTACAGAACCTATGCAGAACCCTCTTGACACCAAAGGAATAGTCTCTCAACATGTCCTCACCGCTCTTTACTTGTAGCTGCGACCGTTCGGGGTACACGAGCAAGTAGCCGTTGCGCGTGCAGATGCTGCAGTTGCACGATACAACCTTCCACTGGGCCAGCGGCGGCGAGAGCAAGACCGAGTACTGTACGCTACCGCAGTGGCAACTCGCTGCATACGTCTGACAATTCTGCGGGTCGAACACTGGAAGAGGAGGATTGGTAGGTGAGGATTCGGTCATGGTTGATGGTGTTGGTGGTGCAAAAGGTGGGGTTGGAGTGTAGCTGTTGAGTAGGGTAAGTTGATCCTCAGAGTGAAGCGCAATGCTACATATACTTTGTTTGATATAGGTACGAGAAGGAGACCGGCGCGGACTTTTGTCGTTGCTAGACGGGAGCTATCGGTGGGCGAAGAGGTAGGCTAGATGGAAAGAAGTCTCCGAATCCGCTTTCCGGCGAGTATATGTCTCCGATGCCGTTGGTGTCGTTAAACATACGGAAGGATGCTACCGACGATAGCTCAATGCGGTGGTACGAACGAGCGTTATACTGCGTCGTCGTCTAAGACCTTTCGCCAATTCACAGCACTATCAGTTCTATACGGGCCTCACATGACCTACCAAAGGTTGCCGCGTAGTAGTATAAGCTGTCCGCTAGGCACTAACACTCTCAAGTCAAGCTTTCCAGCTACACTAGGACTACCCGCGCATACAAATAGCATTTTGGATGCTTCAATCATATCGCGAGCATCAGCAAGACCTCACAGCTACTCAGATCATGGAATCACACCTACAAGAAGCGACTAGACTTCCAACTAACGAATTTACAGTTACATCGTCATGACCCTTTTACAAGTTCCATTCCTCCTCGGAGTGGCTCAGCCATCCTCCGAAATCTCGTCCTACCAAGCAATATATCTCGCACCACCCGCCCCCAAAAAGCAAAATTAACACGACGAAACACATTGCACCACCCTCCCACATACAAATACACAAAAGGCGCATGTTTCACCGCTTTCAGCATATGCGCCAGCTCAAGCGCCTCTCACTCTAGTGCTTTCCACCATTCCCAGCGATCCTGACCGGAGGTGTCACAAACGATCTCGTGCCACTTCACTCCGTATCGCCCATCAAGTCTGGTGTGGTGTTATGCATGAGTCCACAAAGGCGGCCACGGTTTCACGAGATGTGAGCGTAATAGGTGCGAGGTGGTACGGTGGAGGCAGGTGGTGGAAGTGAGGCAACGGGTTTGTGTGAGGGGTGGGCCGTGGACTCCGATTGGTGTCTTGGGTCGGAGATGATGGGCAGTGGGTGGCGGTTGAGTGAAGCGTTTAGATGCGATGTTGAGTATGAGATTTGGGGTAATGGGTACGGTAGGCTGTACGAGGAAGGTTGGGTTGGGAGGGGGGACCTGGTTTTTGGATTGGATGGGTGACATCGGAAGAGTGAAGGTGGGATGAAGGGGGTTATCGAGGGTGTCACGCGGTTGGGTTGGTGGTCTTGTCTTGAAGATGAGCGTTGTGGAAATATGAGTTACAGTTTTAATCATGAGCGAGCATTGCGTACTGCGAACACGACCGCGAAAAGTTCAAGATGAGATGGCATTCAAAATGGAGTACTCCAGTCAACGTACTTTACCACCATGCCAACGACATGCAGCTAGCGCAATATCCTCTCGTTGCACAAAACCTTCCCCTCGAGGGTACATTCTCCTCGTATCTCAGTCTCTGCTACCTCTCTCCAAAATTTGATAACTTTGAGTTCATGTTCCTTCGCCCCTGAGAGATCAAAACGGGCGTTTGCAGAGTTCATGGGAGCGTCTCGACCATCGATTGACTTCAAAGGGCTCCAGAATGACGGCTCCAATATGAAATCACTGTTCCAGTCCTTTCATCATTCAGCTTCACTACAATACCACTAAAAGCTTCATACTTCCAAAATTCGATCGAAAAGACTACGTGTTCTCCTTGCTGGAGGATTTCAAAACAATGATCCAAGACTTCTATGTGTCCTGCCGATTGTTCTGCGAATATATTAGCACTAGCTAGCGTTGCTGAGCTAATATATAAACTCAACCCGAAGCTTCCTCTCTGTTTTTTATTACACCATCTTCTACTGTTCTTCTTCAAAAAGCCATCAGGAGCATGTTACGCTCTCCCTTCCCCGGAAATTCTCAAAACGGTTCCACTCAACTTGTATATATCCAGTCTGCAGACGAACGGACCATACTGTTTCGCAGAAATATCATGCTTTTGAGATGCTTCCACCAAGTTCAGAAACGCACCCTGGAGATCCATGTCCCGGGTCGAGAGAGAAGATTTGCAGATATCCACACTCAAGATCTCGCAAGCAGATATCATGTTTTCGCGAGACGAAGGCCACCAGAACATCGATGCGATCAGCTGACGACTTCTTTCCGTGGTCGAACTACCGTAGTCGAAATACTCCTGCGAGGATGTTACAAAGCTCTCGAGGAAATCAATGATAGGCTGTTGTGAAGATCTCTGGGGTATAAATACCTCTCAACTCTCCAAGGCCACCCTTCTTATCACTCCTTATGCAGCCGACTTTATCAAAAAGCACGATTGAAGAGTTCATGTTGCTGCCTCGTCTGCTCCAACAACTCCTCAAAATTTATTTCGACTCTGAAGATGTATGCGCATATGTCTACACCCCGACTTCTCAAAACTCGCAACGGGTCGATACATCGGTTTCCCAAGTATCTCCTCCAAAATCACCAAAGACCGTGGGAATCACAAGCACTCTGTTCTCTTCAACGGGATAGCCATCCAAATCTAAACAAAACCAGTTGTCACAAAAACATGGTTGAACGCTTATTGAGCAGTCTGCAGTGGCAAAAGTGTCAACAAACAGGAAGATGAGATTCGCGCAATCAAAGGTCCTAGCATTCTCAAATCGCGAGTCCAGAATTACATGTGTCTGTCCAGTTCTGTCGGTTTACACATGTCATTTTCATATTACATCATTTACAAACACCATCTTTGAGATCTCGATCCCACATTCCCATGAATTGCGAAAAGCACAAAAACACACCCTATGACGTACCCTACACTCATGCGCATAAACACAGCCATCCATGCGCATACACCACAACATAGCTTTTGCATCGGAGGATATACGCATGGACAGTCGCTATGATGTTGCCACCCGGCGAGCTTGTGGCGTGTGCTAGTGGCCTGGCACGGTGACGGTGGAAGGGACGCTCCGACCCCGACACACACCAACCTGACGGAAGCTTGAGGTTGGGCCCGTGGCGTTTACCGAGAGGGGTGTTGGTGGGAGCTTTCATGCACACTGCTGATTTTACTTCTGGCATCTCCGCAATCGAGGCTGCGTAGTCTGGGTAGTCTTGAGGCCGAGAAAACGAAGGTTAGTGACGTAGTAATACGGAGGTTGTCAGTAGTATAACGCATGGATTCAGAAGACGGATAATGCACGGATGGCTGAGGACTTGTTCTGAAGCAACGTCACATGTCCGGAGGTGTTGTTGCAATGAGGCTACGTTTAGTGATCAAG